AGAGGGAAGGGCCTGAGCTTTTGGTGACTATCTAGAAAAAGTCAGGATGTCTCTAACTGCATTTCAAAAAGCTATTCTGTAGCCACTTTAGGGAGAAGAACATCAGAATATATAGGTTAGTGCTCAGTGCATTAAACACAAGTACCATGTCCCCGGGGTCTTTTTAACACATTAACTAGACAGAAGGGCGGGATCGTGTATTTCCCTTCTATCCAGTGTATCCCATGTTTAAAATATATACTTGCGATTGCATATTTGAGAAATAAAAAAAAAACAGACTTAGGATAGTTAAAAAAATAAAACTAGGACAAATGTCCTAATTATGAAGCTAGCTGGCAGCTGGCAGGCTTGCCACTACTCCAATTCCTGGGACTATTGTTTCTGAGGACAACTACCCAATGCCAACTTTTGGACTTTTCTTTTTTTCCTTTGCGGACAAAGTCTCAATATATAGACCAGGCTGACCCGGAAGTCACAAAGTAGCCCAAGCTAGTCTTGAACTTGCGATCCTCCACATATGGCTTCTTCATTCCTTCAGAGAGACCAGGTAACAGTGACTCCAGTTATAGCCCACCTTGCTCTCAAGGGGAGAACACAAGAATGAAGCGATGAGCCGAAAGACCTATAATTCTATCTTCTTGCTGTTGGCTATTCAGATTATAAGTAGTTACCTTTATCTTTATTCCCTTTAGAAATAATACCTCTAGCAGAGATGAAGACACGAGACACCATCACGGTGAGAAATCCTGATACAGATAGAAGATGATGCTGACAACTCCTCAGGGGAGCATTTAAAGAAACTTCTGCTTTAGTCTTGTAAAAGATACCAGAAAACTCTGAATAACTACTTACTTTGTTGATACAGGTATGAAGAAAGAGTTCTATAGGCAAGAAATCAATGAAATTTTAAAAACATTTTAACAATCATCTTAGCACATAAGAACAACCTTAAGGATGCTACTCAGTGGTAAGCTCAACAGGTGAACAACAGCCAGGCCTAGAGGTCGGTAAGGGATGCTGCAACACTGCAGACTGAAGGCCACAGACAGCATCAATTTCCTCAGGTGCCCAGGAAAATGCATCTCTAGGGACGGACCATATATCAGCCAAACACCAGTGACAATCTGCCCTGAATGCAGTGAAACCCAGCAGCGGGCCTACCGTGTATGGATGGGACTGAAACCTAAAAGGAAGCTCACAGATCCATTTCTGGGTTTCCGAAGCATTAGCCAGATCAATAAACACACAACAGGCTTTGTGAATTCCATTATAGGATAAGCAAAGCAGAACAAAATAAAATCCAAAACACTGTGCAGCATACATATGTTACAAATGTGACACAAATCAAAAGCGAAACCAAATGAAAAGAAGACATCAAGAAAGCGCGCAAACGACTGCTCACTGCAGTAACAGGTTCAGACCCCAGCTTTGTCTGAAGTACCAACAACTTCAACAGAAGAGGCGTCTTCGCCCACAGATGGACTGGAGTCATTGCTTTCTGATTTCAAATCCTGACTCTACAGTCTTAGCCATGTAGCCTTGGAAAAGTCACTAAATCTCTCTGTAGTTTCCATCTATACAAGGGGCTATACCTACCTTACCAGAGGATTGAATAAACCCTATTGTATACGGCGGTGTTCTGCAAAAAAGCGGCTGCGTTCTTGCAGTGTGGCCGTGAACCCATGTCAACACAGCGTCTGTATTTAATCGAGAAGCAAATACCTGAGGTGTCACAGGCACGCCTTCCTGTTGAGGACTCCCTCTGAGGAGCACTGCGCCTGTAGATAATGTGGGGTTTGTTCTGTTCCTCTTCATCCTCTTGCTCGTCCACAGACAGCAGTGGTTCAATAAAATAATCTCCATCGTGGGATCGGAACGTACCCATCTGTGGAGAGATGAGAGGTTGATTCAACAAACTCAGTCAATGGGAGGGGCAAAAACACAAAGCACAAAGGAGTCAATCCCAGGTAGGAGCTGGAGTAGTTTGTCCGGCCCCTCCCTGAGAGGACCAAGGCAGCCTGGGGCAGCTGTGTCTTTCTTCACTCTCTACCACACTGAAAGCTAATTCTTGACTTGATTGCAGCATGCTATGCCTGTTTTCCAAGTCTAGCTTTTCCTTGGTACCTAAGTCCCGAATCTCTTATTCTTCCTCCAGGAGGCTCAATGAGAGGGTTAAATGCTCAGGTTGCCTGGAAATTCACAAACACCAAAGCATAACGGAGGGACAAGCTGGTTAGCCAAAACTTCCTCCTTTCACGTTCACCAGGTACAGGATGGCCACAGTGCCTTCAGGGTGGTCTTGCCTGTCACCCTGACACACAGTCTCCTCCTGTTCCCTTTGCCAAGGCAGAGTGAAATCCCAAAAGGCCGTATTGTCACGTTCTGCCACATGCACACCCAGCACCACGCCTACCCCACTTGAGCAGCTTTCTCATTGGTCTGAGCGTTCACATTTTGTCAGCTGGAGATAAAGTTCCTTCTTCAACTTCACCTGTGAAGGTTAAAGGGGATCATACCAGCCACACATGTAGCCCAGTGTGCGAGCCTTCTAAGGCTTTGCAGTGGTCAGTGGGTTTGGGAGTAGCTCATTAGCATTAGACCAATTTGCTCTTGCCGAGCACGATGGGCACCTTGTAAAAGGCCATTTTCCTGCTCCCCTCCTCACATAGCTCCAAGTTTTGCAAATGATCCATGATGCCTCCATCTTGAAGCATTCAATGCCCTATGAACGCTGAATGTGCCCAACGGGCAGCGTCTCAGAGGAGACACCAAACTCTTCCCTCTTCCCACACTGAAAATAACCAGAAGCCTTCTCTTGTTTCCTGGGCACCGAAGAAAAGAGAGCCCCTGAAGAGGTGTGGACACCTGTACCCGCATCCTCCAGATCCTCCGCCTCACATTTGCTGTGCTGCACTCGAATCTCTGGGATCGGTTCAAGAATGAGAATTTTAAGGTGCTCCCATGGTTCGTATACAAGAAAAGGCATGCAGGACGCCAGGCTAAGGCATTGCTTTCCCAAACTGAAGAGGATCAAGAAAGCCTGGGAGAATTCATTTTCCTGATGAGATTTGGGGGTGCCACTCTGTATTTACAGATTCAGAATTTCTAGGCATGACGTCTAGAACCCGACTTTTTAAAGAAGCTCCTCTGACTCAAGCACATAGACTCAGTCACTTTTAGCACAGTCTGTGACAAACCGATGGATCCCAGAGAAACAGCAGGTCAACACATTCGTGCTAGCCAAAGCACATCCATCTGCAGGTAGTATGTAACTGGGTTTTCTAAGTACAGGAAACAGAAAGCCTATGGGAGCCGGGACTAGTGAAAGAAATCTGAGAGGCACAGAAAGGAAGGGACTTGTCCTAAGTGGCCCTTAAGTAGTACAGAGCAGGCTAGCGGTAATGGCGATTCTTGAACTCAGAATCCTGATTTTACATCAGTGTCTGCAAAAAATAAAAGTCCTCCTGAGGAATGTGAACGGGGCCTCTGGCCTATGGTGAAAAGTATGGAGAATAAAGGCTGAGGTGAAATTACAACCTGGTCACCTATCAGCATGAGGCCTGGGGCAAGACGGTTGCTCGGAAGGCCCAGGCACTCTTACCAGAAAAATGGGCAGCTTTAAGGGCCGGGCCTTGTATCACAGAGCCTGCAGTGAAAGCTCAACAAACGGTAACAATGTGGAGACAGAAGTAATTTTGTTGTTTCAGAAATAACCACCCGGACCCAACCTATCTTATGTTGACTGAGGTGACCATTATGGCCATAACCATGTACACAAACACGTTATGTACAGTCTACACTACAGCATGCGAGAGGAACAGATAGGTGTGGGTGCAAATGCCTGGGACAGAAGAGGAGAACGCAGGCACGGAGAACGCTGGGCACAGCTGAAGAAAGACAGTGTCTATGATTTTGGAGCAGAGGAATGACACCACATGGAAGACTATGGAGTCTTGTAGGGAAGTAGACATGAAACGTTTTAAAAGGAAAAAGAATGTTGACGCAGGAATGTAGCTCTCTTCCTGGCAGATACAAGACCCAAAGTTCAATTATCAGCAATGCACACACACACACGATGGGCAATATATGTACTGAACATAGGAAATTAAGAGAGTTTAGAGAAAGCATAAAGCTGACTACTTGAAACAGGGAATTTCAGAAGAAGAAACTAAGATGAAATCGGACATTAGGCTATGGCTGAGAAGTCAGAATCTTAAACACCAGCTGTGGAATTTGATACTGTTTACTAGAATATGAGGAGCTGTATGGGTTACGTGAACAACCACAGCAATGAGATCTCACAGCCCACTTATTGACCTGCTCTTGATGTATGGCAGGGATTGAGAAAACAAACAAACAAACAAACAAACAGAAACAAAAGATGGAGAGAAACAGGTAGATGGAGGTATTTCTCAGACAGTGGTCCTGAGGAGAGAAAGGGAAGCATGGACTGAGGTACAGACATTTGCTCAGCAGAGGAGAGCAATGTATGATCTGGGAATCAGAGACACTGAGAACTGGCAGGTGTGGGGAGTGAGTGTGTGTGTGTGTGTGTGTGGCAGGTTATGGTTTTAGATCACTCCAATGAGGGCAGATTTCCTGGAAGCCCTTCAGGCGTCAGGAGCACCATTATGTAGAGACAGCTACAGAAATGATAAAGATGAGTTGTGGGAGGAAATAAAAATTCCAGGAGACAACGAAGACAGGAAGCTCAGAGTTAGATTAGTGGCCAAAGATACAAAAACCTAGTTCACATATTTTGAAAAGATATGTCGCCCTACCCCCCAAAAAGGTCCGTTGCAAATTATACGCCATTAGAATAGGGTTAGGTCAGTCCAGAAGCCCGGATTCTCAGTTCTCAAGAAGACCACGTGCACTGTGTTACCATGAAAAACCACCAATGGAAATTAAGGTCCTACGCAGAAAAATATTTATACAACTGCTGGGGCCACTCGGATTCCACCGGTGTGTAGGCGGGGAAAGAGGAGGAGTAAAGACTGTTTACCAACGAAGTACACAGCAGCCCTATCAAAGAACTTGAAATTGGGGTCCCTAGCTTTAAGTCAGGGGTGCTCTGTTTCTCTGGGATTCGCCTCAAGGCTTTTCAGCCTTTCTAGGCGATAACCTCTCAAAAATCGGAGACATTCTAGCGTCCAGTCTCAGGTTTGGGGCCATGATGACTCAACGCAGCATCCCCTCCCCGTGACAAACAGCGGTCTCCGCCTATCCCCAATCAATCTCAACCAGGCACTCTGGGCGCCAGGATTCCCAGTACTTAGCTGGTGGGTAAAGGGGCTCATCCCCTTCCCCATAACCCAGAAGGTTAGACGTCCCCTCCACCCAGTTTTCTGGAGTGCGGAGCTCTCGCCAGGATTCTGCTCTCGGAAGGTTTAGAAGGATGTAACCTCCAGACCGGGAATTTAAGACGCAAGAACCAGCCAGCAAATGTGGCAGCCTAGCTTTCAAGTGAGTACCCAAGCCCCCACTTAGAAAGAGGAGGAGGTGGGTGGGTGTGCTAAGGGAAGAGAGTAAATGCACCAGGGGCGCGGACTTTTAATAGCAATTGTGCGTAATGCGCAGTGCTGTGAGCTAGGAGAGCGAGCCGCGGGAAAGTTTCTGCGTCATACGCGCGTGGAAGGAACGCACGTCGCCTGGGAAAGTGAAGGATCGCCCTATTTGGGTCCAGAATTGTTAAGAGACTCTCAATTGTCGTAGGAATTGGGGGCGGATGCCTTGTTAATTCCAATGGAGGGTAAATTGAGGGGGTCGGGAAGCAGGGGATGGAGATATCAACTTTTATCTCCCACTAAGTGCCCACTAGGCAGCGCAGGGTGGTATCGGTCACACTCAATCTTCGTAGAGAAACGTGCGCTGTACGTTCCTATTCCTGTCTATTTGGAACTGCCACGGGTTCTAGAAGAATGGGACTCTTCTTAAGGCTACCTCTCCAGGCTCTCTCCCACTACTCTAGCGCCTCCAGCCACCACGCCAGCAGGGTGCAGAGTCGGACTGCAGTGCTACTCCCCCCGCACCCCCCCCCCCCCCCGCCGCCGCCCTTCCACCCTCAAAGACCGCCTTAGAGACAGGCTCCGCCCTCACTCCGGGCTCTCAGAGTACTTGGCCCACCCTTCCTTTCCCGGGATAGAATTGGCTTCCCTGTCAGTCTGGTTCAGTTTCAAAATTCCTTGCACGTGATAAAAGGCTCCGAGAAGAAAGAATGCGGGGACACTACGTTATGTACTCCTGTCCATAAAGAGAGATATCCCAGCACTCCAGAAGGGGTGTCCCGGGATTGTCAGTTTACATCCCTGACTCGGGAAGCGCCAATGAGGAGTTAGGTCCGCCCTATGCTCAGCTGCTCCGCTCCAGAGCGGCCAAGTTTGCTACAAGAAAGCACAACCCCAGCAACTTTCTCTGAGTTTGTAAGTCGACGTGCAAGCTACTCTGCAGAGTTGAGCTACGCGCAGCAAGCGCAATGCATCTCCGAGACAGCTTCATAAGATCCACGACCGTCTGGGGGATAGATCCGTACTTTCTTCTCGAGTGTAAGCGCAAGCACCCCGCCGGTAGACCCCCCAATCCTGGGACCAAAGCCAGTGTTGATATTTAACCCCAGAGCATAAACTCCGTAGGTTCAGACTAGGGTACAATTAAGTCTTAAAGAAGCAGACGAGGAGGCGGGGAGTAGGAAAGGGGCACGCGCCCACTTACCATTCCGGAGCACAGACTGATGACCGCAGTGTGCTCGGATTTAGTATTGACATGGCCTTTGTAGAAACAGTGCCTAAGTTCCATTTCTTCTTCGGAATACAGCTTGGTCTGGTTCACCCCTGGTTCTCCAAGGAGGGTGACAGTGAACAGTGGAGCGATAAATCCGGTATGGGCGGTGAGATTAAATAGGAACTGCTGGCCGAAGACCGAGAGGCGATAATGTGCCTGGGAAGAGGTAGAGGAAGACGAGGAGGAGGCGAAGGCAGGCCAGGGGTCAGAGGCAGAGTTAATGCTTCGTCGCCTTCTTTTGAAGTGCACGTTCGTGGGAAAGGGTTCCCCGAGGGTATTCACTCGGATGGGAGACGCGATCTCATATTCGCTCAGAGTCTCTAATAATTTCACTGCAGGGAGAAGCAGAGACAAATGAGCTAATCATTCATTTTTGGGAAAGCTTTAATTTAAAAAGAAGATGGGGGGCTTTGTCCTAACTTTGTCAATTCTTTCACCTTCCATCCCTGGACAAATATTTGTCGAACTCCTACTGTAATAGTGACAGCCCACAACTATGCGAGGCGCCCAGAATACAACATGAGAAGTCAGACAATGAATAAATCTAGAAACATAAGATAATTACAGGTTCTGATAAATTCCTAAATAAAATCAAATGTGCGCTCTCCAATGATCCCAGCAACTAAGTAGCATTGATTTGGAACAGGGAATAAGGAGGAAGAGTAAAAATCAGGCAAAAAAGGGCTGGGGGTGGCCCTAAAATTCTTGCGGTGCCTCCCTCCCTCCGGTTGGCTAAGGATGACCCAGAAAAGGGAGAGGCCCAAAACGCGAGGTGATTCTTTCTAGGAAAAGGAGAGCGGCCTCTGTTGTGGGGTGCCCGCCCCAGAGCGTGTGTTGAGGAGGTGGAGACGGAGTGTGTGTGTGTGGGAGGGGGGACCTTCAGGGTCCAGAGCCACGTTACCTTGCCTCGGGTGCAGCCTGTCCTTGCGCACGGCGGCCGCGGCGTCAGGACTCCTCATCTCAACCAGGTCCGGCACCAGGAGCGTTAGCAGTGTGGCCCAGGATACTAACTGCATGGTGCTCTTCACCCCTCCCCCCCCACTTCTCTCACCCCCCCTCCCTCCTGCCGGCTTTGGTGGCTGGCGGCGACGCAAGGCAGCAGCAGTAGAGAGCGCGCGGAACCCCAACACCCTGCCGCCAACTTTTTGACTTTAGGAGTCGCTGAGGTCTTGCAGAGAGGGTCCCGTGTGCGCTCGGCTGAGCAACGCTGCCGCCTGCCGTGAGCTGAGCCGCTCTGGCCGCAGAAGAAGAAGAAGGAGGCGGAGGACTGGGGCTCGACTGCTCGGCCGCATAATGTCCAGCCAGCGGGCAGGAGAAGGCGCGGAACGTGCGCTCCGAGGCGCGCCGGGCGCCCTGTGCTGGCCGAGTTAGCCGAGCCGCTTCTTGAATGGGGGGCCAGGGGGCGGGGGCCCCCGCGGGCGCTCAAATACCCTGGGTGCACGCCTCCAGGAGGAGGAGAGGGGAGGAGAAAACGAGGCAGGCGGCCCGCCTACTGTCCCCTCCTCGGCCGCTGGTGCCAGGACACGGCGCTTTAGGCCCCTCCAGTTGCCGGAGGCGGAGGCCAGAGGCCCTTAGAGCCCGAGCAATCGGTGGCCATTCGCGTCACCTCCCCGAGGTGGGGTTTTCTGAGTCCGCCTGCTAGGAATGGAGAGCAGAGAAAGTTCCCTTCCCTCGGTGGCGCTCTGCCATTCACTTCGACTCTCCTCCTCTCCTATCTCGGTCTCTCCGGTTTGGAATCTCCCTCTCTCTCTCCAGGTCTTGGTGAGCATCTCTCTGGGCCGGTCCCTCCTCTCCGATGGTCTCTTCCTTCTCTGCCTTCTCCGTTTCCCCATTTCTGCCTGCCTCCTTCATTCTGTCCCCTTCTCTTTTCACTACCCCACTTGGGATTTCTTACAAGAGAAAGTAGCGCTGCGCCGGAGTCCCAATCTCATACTTGATCACGAGGAACCAGATTTGTCACCTGAGCTCCACTCTCCATTTAATTGCTCCAAATCAGGATTTTAGACTCCTATGGTTCCAGGTTGTGTTTCAAATCCGCAGTTCTCCGAAAGTTTTGCAACAGTTTAAACCCGGGTCGTCTCAGGACTCTATCCCATGGCTAGAGCGTCTACGGGCTTCTGTAGGTCACCGCTCACAAAAAGTTAAAAAGTTTATTGTGCAGTTTGGGAGCCCCTGACTCTGCCCAAGATTTGAGGGAAAGGGAGAAGGGAAAGACTGAGAAGCTGTTGGTTCCAGGGGGCGGGGGGGGGCACTCGACCCCCCCCCCGGGATTTCTCAGTCACTTCCGCTTGCTTTTAGAGGTAGAGATGGTGGGAGCAGGGAAGTGACTCCAAGCCAAACACCTCAAGTTATCACCTCCCTCCCGTTGAGGGTGCACGTTTGAAAGTCAGAACTCTAAAAGGGGAGAGAGAGAGAGGGGAAGGGAAGTAAAGAGGGAGAATTGTTAAATCCTGGATAGTTCAAAAGCACCTTTTCCCTTTAGCTCGCAGGAAGAGAGGATGTGCTCATTCCAAAGGAAAGGAAATGGCAATTTCAGGAAGAGATATGACTAACAAATTTATAATTGCCCAAGTTTCCTAGAACCGGAGTTTGGTGTTGCTTGGCCTGCCACTCGGAACTGAGACTATCAAAGTGCCAATAGAAACCCGAAAACAGTGCACTGGGAGTGCCACCCATCCTGAAAACAATGATGTATACAGTTCTAATGATAGCGGAAAAATGACCTGGCAGGGCTGCAGTTTCCGAAAGATGTTGCTAATCCAATTGGTTAGGCACCACTGAAAGGGACAGGCACCGGGTATCCCTACCCAATGTGCACTTGAAATCTCCCTAATCAGGAGGCCCAGGGAGGAAATTGGAGACATCTTAGACCAGCCTAAACTGCGTAGAAGACCCCATCTCAATACAAAATAAAATGACAAAAGAAACATGGAATTTTAAGAGGACACCATCTTTCTTTTCATTATGTGCTAAAGAGTCCTTTTCATCCTCGCTCCTGGGAGATGCTGGGAATTGAGGTTAAAAAAAAAATCAAGAAATCATTCTACAGGAGCTGACTTTAGTGGACACCTTACAGCATATCTGCCATTTTCACAAGCCTGGCACCGTTGAAACTCTCTTCTACCAGGCAGGCAGTTCCTCTATTTTAACTCAGACACCTCCTGATCAAGAGATGCTAAGGGCTCCAGCATTACTACAGGAGAGACAGGAGAGATGGCACCTTGTTAAAGAGCACTTACTGCTCTTATAGAGGTCCTGAGGTTGGTTCCTAGCACCCACATATGACTGCTTGCAACTGTCCTTAACTTGTTTCAGGAGATTTGACACCTTCTTCTGGCCTCCCCGGCACCTCTCCACACATACTCACATACCTATAATTAGAAATTTAAAACTATCTTTAAAATCACCACACAGAGGGACATGTGTGTCGCTTCGGTCCTTTGGTTTCTTTCTAAAACGTTCAGTGGTTCACATCACTGGCTGCTCTTCCAAAGGACCCAGCTTTGATTCCTAGCACCCAAATTGCTCACATCCAGTTTCAGGGATGTGCCATCCTCACACAGACATATATGCATGCCAAACCTCAATATATACAAAACAAATAAATCTTTAGAAAAGAGAATGGATTCAGTCTGCAGTTTTCAAATGGTTTCTGAGGCGGGAGTCGTGTTTTCATAAGAGCTTGT